TTGGAATGTGACTTCTTTTGCAATTAAACACTGGAAGAAAAAAAAAAATTAGCCCCTAAATCCAAAAAATATGATAGAAGTCACAATCATTAAATATGAGTTTTATGTTTTGTTTATTGTTGGACTGTCTGAGGTTGACCGTAGTATGGATATCCTGCTTGTGGCACAGTGGTGTAGCCATTTGGGAACGCTTCTTGAGTAGCAGTTGGGGGACGGTTCTGTTGGAAGAACTTATGTGTCAGTAAAGGTTGAATGGAAGCATCACCAGCATTATTCATCATATACTGAGGTGGCAAGGTACTTGCATACATATCGGCCATATTGGAAAACTGGCGTTGTTGGTTATAGCGATTGGGTTGATAATTGGTGCGTGGATTATTAGTGTAGCCATTTTGACCGCGGTTATAGCCAACTGTGTTCTGTAAATATATATAAAATGTTAATTATAATACAAACAAATTAATATATTAAGACTCAATCATTATACCATACCTGATTTTGTCCATATTTTTGACCAGCATTTGCATTATATTGTTGAGTTTGATATTGAGGGTTTTGGAATTTTTGAACATTACGAGGTATACTACCGGTCCCTGATTGGTATGTTCCATTTTTATGTTCATTATTGTAACTTTTATTTTGATAATTTTGACCATTGCCAAAAGATCCATTAGGATAATTGGTAGCTCCATTACTATAATTATTAAAGTTATTTCCATAGCCGCCACCTCCGTAACCAGACCCATTAGTATAGTTGGTATTAGCAGTTCTGACATTGTTTGATTGCCCATAGGGTGTTTGAGTTGCCAGTGGTGTATTAACATCACGATAACGATTGGTCCATTTAGCTCGACCTAGTAAATTAAATAATATTCAGCATTAAAAAGCTTGACACTGAATAACTATTAAACTAATAAAACACAGTAATTCCGCATTATCCGCGGTTAAGTTCACAATATAATGTTATTAATACAATAACGGTTTATCGTTATTATTCAAACACGGTAAATAATTTTTATTTTAAACAACTGCAGAATATACAAATATGTAAGTAATTGTGTACTTATTATAGATATATACCACACATAAAGTACCTACAGACTGCAAGATTAATAATCATCAATTATTGTTAAGTTTACAGTTGATATTTGTGCATGACACAAGTACGGTACACACAGTTAATTCTAATAAATGTAGTGCAATTTAATTTAAATAATTAATAAATTAGATAAATTAAAAATTTTTAAAAATATATATTAATATTGTGATTTTTAAAATTAAGAAAATAAAACCTAATCTCTTTTTTTACATTGATTTATGGTTTCATTATCCAGGCAACTTTTCTAGAACCCAAACTCTACGGATAACGAGGGATTACTGTATTGAACAAAAACAAATGTTTGAAGGGGACTGGCCATCATTTGTTAATCACATATGAGGCTAATTAAACCCACAATAATTTATATAGCGATATTTTGTAAAATTGAGTAATATAATTACACAAATTGAAATAAAAATATCGCAAGGAAGTTCAAAGAAAATTACCAACCGATTAATATTTGAAATAATTGTTAAAGTGTACTTTTTTAAACATACTTATAATTAATTTTCTAATTGGTATGTAATAATATTACTATAATATATTACCATCTAATCCAAATCAAAGTCTAATCTAAACCAAATTAAGTCAAGTGAGAATAAAAACTAGTTACTAAAAGTCTAAGTTACTCAATTTTAAGTTAGTTTAAGGTCATTTATAATTTAATAAGTTAAAATTGTTTTTAGTTAATAATTAAATTTTTATTTAAATTCAAGATAAATTAATATTTATTAGTTTTAATACCAAGAGATAACTCACATCAAGCTAAATTGATCCAAAACAGGCTAGATGAAAATAATTAAATTATTTGTGTGATGTCGAGGAAAAAAAAATTTCCAAGGACTGATCCCAAATGAGAATTACAAACGGAGCTAATTAAATCCCCAATTAATATTAGTATATTATATTAATATTTAAATTGAAATCAAGTATTTAACTTAAATTACATTGATAAATTGAATTATTACACAAGTAACGTTTTTCTGGCAATAAACTTCACTGAAACCATTCCTCAAAAAAGGATATTTGTATTCAACAATGAATGGTCATAACTATATAAATTTTGATGAAATAATTACATAACTATTATTCTATTAAATAGAAGAAAAACTGAATACTAATGAAAACTATACATGTATACATACTTGACATGTGATTTTTTGCCATATTTGCCATTTCAATAAGTTCATCTGGAACTACTTGATGAGCTTCTTCTAATATTGAAATAAGATCTTTTGCTTGGCGCATGTTATTTGTAGAAAAGAATGTATACGCAATACCAGCTTGTTTAGAACGACCAGTTCTACCAATTCTATGAACATAATCTTCTGAAGAGTTTGGATAATCAAAATTGATGACATACTTTACGTCATCAACATCTATAAATAAATATATAAATAAGTAATTTATATACTGAATATAATGTAATCAATATAATTGATTTACATATTTATATGAATTTACCTAATCCACGAGCAGCTACATCAGTAGCAACCAATATGGGTGATTTTCCATTTCTAAATTCATTTAATACATGATCACGGTCTTGTTGAGATTTATCACCATGCATGGATGTTGCTACATACCTATCAAAATCAATAACAAAATTAATTTATATGATAAATAAGAAGTATTGATTTTTGTTACCCTTCATTCTTTATTTGCCTCGTTAACTCATCAACTTTTTTCTTTTTTTCAACAAAAATAATAGCTTTGAACCCAGGTTCATTTGATATTTTCATTAAAAGATCAAACAACTTATAATCTTTTTCATGATCTTCACAAACTTCAATAATTTGTTGAATATTATGATTAGCAGCAAGTTCTAAAGAACCTACATTTATTTGAATATAGTCAACTAAGAAATCTGCAGCTAATGCTTGAACTTCTTTAGGCCAAGTTGCAGACCACATCAATACTTGTCTATCAGGCTAAAAATAATAATTAGTTGATTATAATAAAAATAATAAAATATAACTTTACTAATTTACCCTTATCTGTTCAATAATTTTTCTTATCTGTGGTTCAAATCCCATATCCAACATTCTATCAGCTTCATCAAGTACTAAGTAAGTCACACGTTTCAAGTTAGTGGATCCACGCTCTAAGAAATCAATTAATCGTCCAGGAGTAGCAATTACAATTTCAACCCCGTTTTGTAAATCATGAGCTTGAGGTCCTTTGGGAGTACCGCCAAATATGCAAGTGTTACGAATACTTGAGCTAAACATTTTTGCAACACTTTGTATTTGTTGAGCTAATTCTCTAGTTGGAGCTAATACTAAGGCAATAGGTCCATCCCCACGTTGAAGAGGTTCTTGATTACTAATGTGCACAGCTGCTGGTAGCATATACTAAATAATAATAATATTATATTTGCATTAAGTTTTAAAATTTAATTTTAGAAAATATATACATACTGCTAATGTTTTTCCGGAGCCTGTCTGAGCAATGCCTACAAGATCTCGGCCACTTAATGCTATTGGCCATCCTTGAGCTTGAATTGCAGTAGGTTCAGAAAATCCTTGTTTTTTTAATTCTTGCACAACACTTTCAGGGAAATTACCTTCAATAAAGAATTGACTAGGATCTGGAACATTTGCACCACGAATAGTAATTGCTTTATCAACACGATACAAATTTACTTCATCTGGACTCCTAAAAGATTTTTCAAATTAATTTAAAATGCACTGATTTCAAGAAGCATTTATAAAGAATTAACTAACCTGCTAACAGTATCTACATGGGGAGTATAAAAATCTTTTTTGAACGGTTGAAGAGATTCACGAGTCCAGTTTGGCTTTCTTAATAATTCACCTGGGGCCTTATTCATGGGTTTAAACATTGCACCACCAAAATCTGCATTTTCTGTGTTGCCATTTTGAGATTTCCAAAATTGATTGCCATAACCTTGATTTTGGGTTGTACGTTGCTGTTGATACCTAAAATAATGAAAATAAATGATTGCATTTTGTAATTTAAGAATTCTTGATTATTTAACCTATACTTTTGTATCTAATACTTCATATGATTTCATGAAAAAACAAATTTAGGAGGGAAATACCATAATTCCAAAATAAAAATAGATTATTTTAAATAATTAACTTATAAATATTTAGTTTGAACAAATGCAATTATAGCAGAAATAGTGAATAATTTACATTTTAAGATAAAAGTAATTATAATTATATTTATAATGCCAATATAGGAAATATATATATACTGTTAAAAGGAATATTTTTATGATTAATTAACAAAAGATAAAATATATCGTTTTAAATGTATATAAATTTAAATAATATATGTTATATGATTATATTTTCTTTCAATATAGCTTTTAAATTTTCTGATGGTTAATTATTTTTTATAGCAAGAAATATAAAACTCAGAATTTATATAAGTATTAGGTTACATAAAAAAGTAATATATTTAATTAATCATTCACTTTAGAGAATAAACCATGGGCTTAATAATTAATGAAAAATTGATAATATTCAAGGATCTGTTCAATTTTAATGAATTTGTTGACAGAGTTAATAAGATAACTAATCCACTTCATGAAAGTTATAGCTATCCATAATATATTATAATTTAAATTCTAATAATTTTAAAATTATGTAACCATCTTTTAACACTCATAATTAAATGTTATATACAATTTAGGCCATGAATAAATATTATAAGTATTTAAATTCCAACACTTTTATGTTTACAGGTACATAATATTGTTGAAGTACAAAACACATTATTTATATTGGTGTTGCCACATTTTTTTATTAGCAATCAAAAAAAAAAAAAATAACTGAAATTAATGCATCAAAAGATTAGGAAAATCATATAATAAAAAAATATAATAGATTTCATAACTAGTTAGACACAAAACAGCTGGAAACTCATTAATTACCTAAATTAAATATAACGCAGAAAAATAGTAGGAAATATGCAATTTAAAGATAAATATAATTAAATTAAGATTATTGAAATTATCAAATTTAATTATAATAAATAATTAGCTATGAACAAAATCTTTTTTCCTAAAGCAGACTAAATATTATAGAATAAAATCAAACCAAGGAACACAATGAAAATCAAATTTAATTTAAAACGTATTACCTATTTAACATTTGATCATAAATAATTAAGTTATACTAATAACCAAGATATATTAACAATGTTTAATGTTGCATACCAAATTAACAATACTTCAAAATAATGCGAATAATAAATAAAAACATACTTAAAAATAAAAAATAAGAAGTAAAACAATTGATTTTAACTTCAACATACTGTTAAGAAAAAAAATAATCAATACCTAATTACAATCACATCATTGTATAGAACTAGAAATATAAAAAAAAATTTTAAATCATATTTTTAGAAAATCATTAAGGTAATATATAAATGTTAAAAACAATTATAAACAGAGTGAATATTCGAATTAATTGGTCTGAAATATCAAAATATTTACTACTTTTTTGGAAACACTAATTCTCTATCATATGAAAATCATATTAACATAGAAATGTGTAGTGAATATATATAGATAATTATTGATATACTTACATTGGATAACCGGTGCTGTTGTACATATTTTTGACGTTATTTCTGACTGGTGTCAAAAACTATAAAACAATAGATGAGGGTCACGAGATTTTTTCGCATTATGCAAGTATTGGAGATAAATAGATGGTTTACTTACCAAAACTGATGTACAAAAGGAAAATTAGTGAAAATCGAACGGAGTTATGTCGTTTTTAATTGCACAGATTAGTTATAAGTGTTTTAATTGAAATGGGAAAACGGTAATGGTCGTTTCAAGACGGAGAAGCGGCCATGTTTGAAAGTACATCTGCCGTTCGACGTACGTTGTTCGCCCCTATGAATTGTGATCGTCTTCGGTGACGTAATTTGATAATGGATGAAAAAATGTCTTCCTTCTATTCCATGATCTCGATTGAAGTTGAAAGTAAAATTGTTGAAATACTTTAAAATTTATATTTAATGCGAAATTTTACTTGTATATTTTAATTAAGTCAATTAATGTGAATAATTTCTTCAAATATTTATTTTAATTTTTACCAATGGAACTATAAGCTCTTTAAAGTCATCTGTTTATTCTTAGTGATAACGTATCAACTATAATGTAATTAGGGCGTACAATTTTTTTAAAAATATTTTCTAATTTACTTATACATTTTGTATTTAATTTTTTATCTTCTTAATATTCATTATTGGATTTTAGATCCTCTGTAATAAATATTTTGCTCTTCGGTAAAAAATATATACTTTTACTATCAAATAATGGTTTGTAACTTTTGCTTTTACCTCATAAAATAAAAATAAAATAAAAAATAATTATGTATTATTAATAGTTTTCATAAACATTTTGAACAAATATTTTTAGAGCAGTAATAATTTATTAAAGCATTCAATTTTTGAAAATGCTTAATTTAATAAATAATCTACAAGCCTTAATAGTGTCATATAAATACTTAATTTTAATTCATCATTATATTTATATCCATTCATTGATACATTGTTTACATTTACATTATTACCAGACTTGGGTAAAATATTTTTTAGAAGTATTTAGAATAAATACTGGAAAAAATACACAAAATAGTATTCCGAATATGTATTCAAATACTTTATACAAATTGTATTCTGAATACATTATTTAAAATACTTTTATAATACTTCTAGTTTTCATACTATAAAAATAATAGATGTCTACTCAACAGAAATATTTGAAATTCTAGACTAAATATATGTTATTTTATTCTATTTTTATATTACATAACTGTTATAGTTTATGGTTTACAATAATAATAAATACCTGATATTAGCTTATACAAGATATGACGAAAAGTTATATTTCTACGAAATGTTAGTAATTGAACAAAATAATAAGGTGGCTATATTTGTACTTAATATTGAAATTGGTTTCTTTTGACTGAAATGTATGTATCTTACATTATTTTAACTGTATTTATAGTTTTATAATATTAATGACATTGCAACACATTTTATCAACTCATTGACATAATTCTCATTTCTAAATATTTAAAAGGTTTAATTTTTAAATAATTTCTATAATTTTGTTAATAATTTGTTTAGTTCATTGAATTTATGTATTATCCTTAATGGCGCCAGCTGAAAAAGAAAAAGAAGTGTTGGGGTGCACATGCAATTTGGCCCCTTTTGATGTACCAAATAAATACCTTTCAAAACCATATATTGAAGCATTTTTAAGAGGATTAAATAGTTTGCGAAAGAATGATATTTTCTGTGATGTTCAACTCGTATCTAAAGGATATTGCATTAATGTAATTATTTTTCATTATGTACTTTTTTAAAGAATATTTATTTATATTTTATTATCTACATTAATATAGGCACATAGAGCAATTTTGGCTGCCAGTAGTCCATATTTTTATGCTATGTTTACTAATGGTTTATTGGAAGCTGGTAAAAAATCAATTGAACTTCCTTCAGTTTCTCCTGATGTACTTGAAATACTTATAAACTTTATTTACTCCGGTAGGAACCATATTTATAAGTAATATTACTACTATTTTTGTTACATTTAAAATTATCAGTCATTTATTTTTATGATTTTAGGAGAAATAAATATTTATCAAGAAAATGTAGAAGAATTAATGATTGCAGCAGATATGTTAGAACTTAATGATGCTGTAAGTTGTTGTACAGAGTTTTTGAAAAGTGAGATGGATTCATCTAATGCAGTTGGGTTACTTCGGTAATAATTTTAAAAATGTATATCTTATTATTGAATTTGCACTTATGTATTATGATGAAAAAGATTTGCAGACATGCACAATTTTACTGTCCTATATAAATTATCTGAAGATTTTATATATGGAAATTTTGTTCAAATTTGTGAAGAAGATGAATTAGGCGATTTGTCTAAAGATCAATTTATTAAGTTTCTAAATAGTGAATATCTCTGTGTAGATTCTGAACAACAGGTAACAAATTTTTTATACATATTTATAATCATACTAATTTAAGTATATTTAGGTGTTTCGTGCGGCTATGAAATGGATTAAACATGACCTTTCTGACCGTCGTCGTTATATTTTTGAAATTCTATCATGTATACGTATACCTTTAATGAGTATCCAATTTTTAGAACGAGAAATTAATAATAATACTGATGCAAGTTTAAGGGTTGCTCTACGTTCTATTTATACAGACATAGCTGAACGTATTGGTAATTTAGTAGCTCTGGAAGTTGAACCACGATTAGGAGCAAAAAAAGATATATATATATTAGGTGGATCAAAAAGAGAAATATGCAGTGCTTGGTCTCGATATTCAGAATCTACATTTGAATCTGTTGTTAAATTCAATACTTTTAGGAAGTAAGATATTTGTATATTTGTTATCTGTTTTTAATTCTATTATTAAAATTTTTATTATTTTTTTGAAACTAGAGAATGGTGCGATATAAAACCAATGAATATAGGTAGAATCATGCCTGGAGTAGCTATTTTGAACGGGTGTATATATGTTGTGGGAGGTGAAAATGAATCCCTCATTTTGTCAAATGGGGAGTGTTATAACCCTATTGAAGATAAATGGAGTTCTGTTGCTGGAATGACAGTTCCTAGGTGTGAATTTGGAATGGCTGCTTTAAATGGTTATTTATATGCAATTGGAGGCTGGGTTGGAGATGACATAGGAGGTTCAATTGAAATGTAAGTTATATGAACATAATTTTATGATTTATTGTATTATTAATGACTTCTGTCTTTAGCTATTCTCCATCATTAAACCGATGGACAATGTGCAATAGTGTGCTACCTGAACCGCGATTTAGTATGGGAGTTGTATCATTTGAAGGTGTTAACATTTATATCTAATAAAGTATATTTTATTAATGAATTGTTATTATGATTAGGTTTAATTTATATTGTGGGAGGATGCACTCGAACCAAACGACATCTTCAAGATTTATTAAGTTATAATCCAGTGACTGGAGAATGGTCAATTTTGGCACCTATGCTAGTGCCACGTAGTCAAATGGGAGTTGCTGTTTTAGATAAACATCTCTATGTAGTTGGTGGTATTACCAGTAATAATGAAGTCTTAAATTTAGTTGAACAATATGACTTTGAAGAAGTAAGATTATTTTAAATATCCATGATTTCTAAATATTTTTATTCATGTTTTTGTTTAGAATACTTGGAGTTTTGTAACTCCAATGAAGGGTAAACGTGCTAGTCCTGCTGTTGCTGCTGCTGATGGAATGTTATATGTAATTGGTGGTGATATTACACATACAATTAACTCATACAGGTCACACATTACTATTTCTTCAGTAGAAAGATACAATAACTCTACTTCACAATGGGAAGATCTCCCATCACTTCCAGAATCCAGAAGTGAAGCTGGTGTTGCTGTATTGTAAATTTTTAGCACAAAATTAGTGTATATATATTTTTTAAATTTATGGAAGACTAAAAATATTATGTTTATTGTTATTATATCAAATAAGAACGCACATTTGTTGTTTTATACCCAGTCCTAAAAATAAAAACGATCAATTATTAACATCAAATATTTATTAAATTAACAATACAGCTTGACAATTTATTCAAATTTACAAAAGTAATTAAAATTGTATGTAAATTTTATTTTAAATAATTGTCTTTATTTTGTCCTAAAGATTAAATTTCAATCATCGATTTTGAATACGGTGTCTTTTTCTGTTTTTTCTTCCATCTTCTAATCTTTTGCGTTTTCCACCACTTTTCTTTTTTTCCCACTCTAATTGTTTGTTGGAAGAATTATCTCGGACCAATATATCATCTTTTCCACCAGATTTTTTTTTACCTGCTGCATCTAACATTGCAGCAAATTGTTCTGCTGGTACAGCTAAATCTGCTAAGTTCTTTGATTTACGTGAAACCATAAATTCATCATCATTATCATCATCACTTTCAGATTCTTCAACAGGCTTTTTACCTTTTTTTGATTTAGGTTTTTCAAACCCTCTTGAAAAATCATACTTTTTTTTCTTTTTGCCTCCCATCATACCATCTAATAAATCATTAAAATCATCACTGTTGACACTATCTACATCACTGAAACCATCTTCATCTGGGTTTTCGATTTCTTTTTTATGCTGCTTAGGTCTTTGTTTAAGGTACTTGTACAAAAATACTTCGTCTAAAGGTATTTGTTTTTCTTCATGTCTTAAATATTCTTCACTTACTACAGACATACTTTTCAATCCTTTTGGAACATAGTGTTTTCGAGAAGTACCGACTGACCTAAAAAGTTCTTCATTTTCTTCTCCTCGTCCTTGTCTTGGTTTTTTAGGATTCTTAAAAGAAAATCGATCAAGAAAATGTAATAAAGTAAAGTCTGCTAGAGGATTACCATCATAATATATAGATTTACCAGCTATTATTCTAGAAGCAAATGTTGCAACAGAAGGATGATAGTGTCGACTTAAAGGAATTAGTTCAGCTAAAATTGCATACTCACCTCCTGCAAATCTTGGATTTCTGGCAGTATAATCATAATAATTTTTAATTTCTCTTTCTTTAGGAACTTGTGATACTTTAGATTCAATTATTACTTGAGGAGCTTTAATGTGATACCAAGAAGATTTTTCAGGTTTTTGGGTGGTATCACTTATATTAGATTGTACATCAAAATATTTTTCTTCTTCAACTTCTTCTTCTTTAATTGTATCATTTAAAATAGCAGGTGATTCTGATTTTGTTTCTATTTTAATTTCTTCAAATTTAGATTTACCAATAATTCCTTTATGTTTCTTCATTAAACGTGATGTCATACAAAATAATCCACTAACTAATGGAACTGGACAGTATAAGCTTACTTGAAATATACGTTTCATAAAAGCTATAATACGCACCATACATTTATCATCCCAAATAGATTTATGAATCAAGTGAATACAAATAGCTTGATGAGATGTAGAGATAAATCGTTCATCAAATATTTTTCTGTAAAGGGCACTGTAATACCTATCATTATTTTCCAATTGCCTAATCAATAATAGTGCTTGTAAAGATATATTGAATGGAGATAAGTGAACAATTTTATACATGGTTTGTATTTGTTCTGGTTGAATACCACTTCGTACATGAGGGTATGATTTATTAACACCAACTAATAAGGCTCCAATAAGCCTTGAATCAATGGCTCCGGTCTTTACACATGCTTTGAAAAATGATAAGTACAATTCAATAACTTCTTTTGCCATTTCTTTTGTATCAATTTGAGTTAAAAAGCAAATACCATAATATTGGGCTCTTTGATTTATATTTGAACGAAATAATAATTTTCTAACTTCTTCAAATATTATTTGACTAAGATTTGAACGATGTTTTAAAACAAGACGTAATGTATACATGGCCTTTGAAGCAATTTTATGAACAGTATCACCAAATTTATTTACAAGGTATCGAACTATTTGCACTTCACATTCTGTACTGTTGATTAATAATCTATTCATAGCAGAAATACTTTTTTCCCGATTTATTGGTACAGAATCTAAGCCAACAGTACTCAGAGCTTCAACAAAAGCAACATATAAGTTTTTAAGTTTTTCTTCAAATAACCAAGAACTTAGCAAAAGTTTGCGTTGCTTTAAATCATCAAGTTTTGATAATTCACTTAATGGCTGTTGTTCAAAGGTTAGTAATTCAGTTTTTAACAACACTCTTGTAAATAATTCAGTTAAGGAATCAATAACAAGAGAACACTGTTGTTTTTTGCCAATTTTCACCATACTGATTAAATTTTGTATAGCACTGATATTGTGCAAAGGATCTTCTTGGATCTTTATAGTGAGTGCAGCAATTTTGTCTGAATAAGTACCTTGTTTGGCAATTTCAGTAATCCATGATTTTTTGTTGTCAACTTGTGGTTGATGTTCCAATACTTTTTCAGCTTCAAACCTCAAGGCTTGAATTTCAGATTCTGGTAGTTTGGTGCAAGTCCCAAATGACGGTAGATTATCATACCATTTTGGAATGTCATCATCAGCATCAGAATCTGAATATAATTGATCATATCCATTATCACTTTCTATATCACTGTCTGGATCAGAAGAACTCGCCATATTCGAATTAAAAAAATCTAATTTAAGTTTAATGAGTAAACAATCTGTTTAAAATACTGTAAAATTATAAAATGTAGAAAATCTTTAATGTTTAGTTTGTTGTCGGATTTTCAAAAACCAGCGTGAAAATTTCTTGGTTAACTTACAGTTTGACCTCATCGACGAAAATACTAACTTACCACATGTTGACAGTGATAATGAATGATAAGATATTTTATGATAACTTGATTTATCATTTGAGTCTCACGTGGGTACTATCCTCTACAAGATATGTAAACATTTAAAACCACATTTATAAAATTTGTAACTGTAAACCATTTGAATTTCTGTTAAAATATGAGTGTTTGATATTGTTGCGTAATTTAAATATCGTTCACTATGGTTAAACTTGATGAAGACAATGTAGTAATAAAGAAAATCGAAGGTGGAAGTATCATCAGCCATGCACCACTATTTTCAGAAGATGGAAGGTTAGTAACAGTGGATGTTTTAAGAAATTTTTTTGTGGGAGGTTTTTTGATATCATAATATATTAACACACAAAAATGTGTAAATCCATTAATTATTAATTACATAAAATTTAATTCTTATATTAACGAAAAAAATATAACAAAATTTAAACTCAAAAGTCCTGAGCGAATAATATATCACAGCTTGAACTCAGAACCTGGATCGGGGGGAGGGGTGGGTGGTCCAGATCTCCTAGACTCTCATAAAACCGCCATTGATTAATAAGAATTAAATACCACAGTATGAACAATTGCTTATTATTGTATACTAATCAAGTATGTAATGAAATATTTAGTATCTCTATGTTATATTATTAATTATTAATTAATACAATCAATTTTGTCACTAATGATGTATTTTTTAAATCATCTTTCATAATAAATGTAAATATTTACATAAAAATTATGTTTATTATTATTTTTTTTTTTTTTTTTTAATATTAAATATAGATTCATTTATGTGGGCTGTGCTGCGGACATCAATTGTTTTAATGTTAACTCTGGAAAATTAGTAGCTAACTACACTGCTGATGATAGCTTTGGTCGAATTGTTAGTTTAAATTTTCATCCTTCCAATGATAAATTATTGATTGCTGTTCATTTAAATGGTGTTATAGTTTTTTGGAATTTGATTGGAACTCAATCTGCCAAACTTTTGCAACAAAAAGTATTATTATATTTCTAAAATGTATAGCTATTTATTTATAAATTGTTTTTGATATCTTTTTAGGAATTAGATTTAAAAGAATCTCATGTTACAAATGGAAAATGCTTATCAAAAAATCATTGTTCTTATGATGTTGATTGTATTGTTATATCATATAAATTGCGAACTACTAATACTGAAGATGTTAATATTGGATTATTTTCATTGGAGGAAGGGATATTATTACACAAATTTGACGAAGCGTAAGTATTTTAATATTTTTCATTTATGGTATGCCAACTTATTTAAAATAAATATTTTTAGGTTTGAACATTTACCACATAATTGGTCATTAGGAGGTTTTGAAGATGTGCCTTATCTTGCATTATCCAATAAAAATGTAATACATATTTATAATTTATTAAATTATAAAAAAAATAAGTATGTTTACTATATTAATTAATAAAATATTCAATTAATGTACAAATAAATTTATATTTTTCTTTCTAGGATTAAATTAGGATCTGGTAGAACAGTAACTGTTACACAATGTCATCCTAATTCCAATACTTTAGCAATTGGAGATAACACCGGAAGAGTTGTTTTATATTATGAAGTAATGCATAAAAGTACAAGATCTCAAACGGTTTATCATTGGCATACTCTTCCTGTAAATGATGTTATATTTACAAGTAGTGGTAAGTTAATAAACATATTCCTAAAATGTTTATTGATTTAATTTTTTTTAATTTTAGGTAACCATTTTTATAGTGGAGGCGCAGAAAATGTATTGGTAAAATGGTTTTGTGAAAACACTGAAACTAGACATTATTTGCCTAGACTACCAGCAAATATTATTCATTTATCAGTTACAGAAGATAATCAATATGTTGCTGTGTCTACTCAAGATAATGGTAAAAATATTTAAATTGTATAATACCTTATTTATTAGTATATGATGTTTATAACCATTATTATAGGAATATTAATTATAAACTCGCAGAATCGTATTCATTCTATTGTACAAAAGTTCACATGGGGAGTGCATGCATCAACAGTAAGCTTGATATCAACTCAATATAATTTTTAAGATTTACTTATACTTATTTCATTTTAGGTGGAAGAGTTTGAAAAGGTGTTTCCAGCTGGTGTTGCATTTGATACCCGTTCAAGATCTCTTGTAACAAACGGATGGCCTGGTCATATTCAATTTTTTTCATTGGACCAATCACAGTTATCATTTAATGTAAGCTTGTACTATACTTCATATTAGTAAATATACTATTTTTAAATATTAAAAAAGTTAAATGAAATTCATGTTTATTTATATATATTAAAGATGGATATTGTATGTCAAAATTATGTATCCCAAACAAGAGATCAGGGTGTATTTAATGCTGATGTTTGTTTGTTGGCAATAAGTGATGATAGCATTTGGTTAGCAACTGTCGAACGAAGACCTTTTGATGATAGATACATTGTAGATGATGTCCTCAAGTTCTGGACTTTTAATGAAAAATTACAAACGTAATAAAATATTTTTGAGTTAATATACTAATTATTTTAATGTATAATATAATTTTATATTTTCTAGTTATTCACTGAATACTTATACAAGTTCAGTAGATAGAATTTCTAAAGTATATTTTCGCCCATCAGTAGATTCTGACGGTTTGCATATGGCTGCTACAATGCATCAAGATGTTTATAAACTTTGGTCTCCATATGATTTATTGGAAAATGATAAAAGTAAATATGAATGCATTTCATAAAATATTAATAAATATTTAAAAAAAAAAATATGGTAAAGAAGATTTTGGTTGCATTGTGTATTTTATTATCTTATAATTTAAATATCTTGTAATATATTTTAATTATTAGATCAAACTAAATCATGGCAACATGAGTACACTAGCAAACATTATCATGATCAACCATTGAATGCAATCAGTTTTTCTGAAGATGGATGTATATTAGCTGCAGCTTTTGGTCCCAGTATAGTACTAAAAGTTCTTGATGTCTCTGATGATTTTAAAACTAGTCTTACTCATGGTTTTGAAAATATTAGGTAAACATATTTAAATTAATTGGTATTTTATTATAATTAAACATTAAAATTCAATTAATTTTATTGTTAGTTAAATATTCGTTACTTTTATTAATGGCTTAATAAATATTTATTAATGTGTATTATATCAATATTATTATTATTTATTATGCTTTTTATATTTAATTTTTATTATTTTGATATTTGTAGATTATTAGAATTTGGTAAAAACACAAGTAGTTGGATGCTAGTAGCTGCATCAAAAACAAGAATTATGGTGTGGAATGTGCTAAGCGAGACATTACTTACAACTATTTGGGTTCAAGTTGAAAGATTAATTGCTGATCCAATGTCAGAATATATGGCTGTTTTTACTCCCAATAATGATTGTTTGTATATTATATTATATTAATTTATCATACTGTATTTTAATAATTATATTTTACTATATTTATTTTTAGTATTTGTATTCACTCCAAACAGCACAAACATAATCTATAAAAAACAAAATATATTTGGCAAAAATAATGAAAATACTTCTATTTTGTGGGCATTGTTTGCTCCTAAATCAGATTGTCAAAGTGGTCAAAATTCATCTTGGCTAGACAATTCAACACTTTACATGTTGACCAACCAACAAGTAATTATACTTATATACATTAATCATTATTACCAATGAAATCTTAACTTAGATGAAATTTACAACTTATTGTTTTTTTTTTTTTTTTTTTTTTTTAATGGTATCTTGATTATTTAATTAATTAATTTAATTTAAAAAAAAAAAAATAGGAACTTTTAAAGTTTGACAAGGCTGACACTCTTCAAAATATGGTTGAAACATTTGTAGATGATAATTTTACTAATCTAACACCTCTTGGACGTATTATTTCTAATAAAGAAATCATTCATAATTCTGAAGGTTCTAAAAAGTTGCCAGAATTTGAAACACTTATTGATGAAGATAAATCAGCATTTGAGGTAAATTTATTCAAATAGTAATTATTAGATTAATATTTATACATTTGTTTTTTGTTCAATAAAATAAGAAAGATTTTGTTTTAAATGTTATCTGTATACTTATATCTTGTGCATTTGTGCATTTAGACATAATAGTCTACAAAAAACATTTTACATTGGGGAACGTGGTCTTATTGTACTCAAATAAATGCATGTATATAATTTTTTCTAGTATACTAAATTTAATAATTTAAAATTAATTTTTAGATACTTGAGGAACCAGCTCATTTGATGTTACCCTTAGAATCTCAACTTGAACGTATTTTACTTGCATGCTTAAAAACATGAGTAAGTTTAAGTTTAATACTATAAAAAAAATTGTGAGTCATTGAAAAAATTATAAATATATTGTAATGAAAACTGTTTAAATTGATATTTATGATCAAATAATTATAGTACTTGTGTAATGTGACATTTAGGATTGTAAAATATAGCTAACTATAGACTATATTTTTGTCCCATCAAAGAAAATTAACTTAAGCATGGTCATTTTGTTATTTTGATTTTTATTGCTTTTCTAATTAATAATTATTATACTTTTATTGAAATTTGTCTGTCTTCATTAAATTTGGTATTTTTTACATTACGCATACGTAAAATAAAATAATAGATTATTTCTAAGAAACTTAGTATACTTGCTCCAACAAATAATGCAACTGAACCTCCCAATGAAACTAAAATAGACATTTAACATTTCAATGCCGGTAAAAGTAAAAAATTTAAAAAGTAGTTTACCAATTATATCTAATCTTCCCCTTACAACATTCCGTTTTAGCCTCTCCTGTGGTAATTGATCCATCATTAACTGTATAACTGATTCATTTTCATGTGTTCTACAATGAACAATTGATAAAATTTATTTAATTCAATTATTCAATGTTTGAATTTAAATTTATAGTTAATTAACATACTTAAAAGTCTCAACTGTTATCACATCAACTTCAGCTTCTATACAGGATGCTAAACAATGACATTCTAAGCCTAGCCGTTTACTGTTTTTTTTCTTTAACACTGATAGTTCAGCGTAATGTGTATTTAAACAAATAATTCCTTCAATGTCACAATGTTCTGATTTCTCTACATTAATATATATATATATATATATACACAATTATTATTAAAATAATATTATTTGTATGGTTACAAGAACACATACTGCTTTTAGGCATCAAATGAGAAGTACAGTTACACATTTCTAATTGTTTTTGACGACGACAATTAACAATGCAAGAACTGTAACTATATTTTGAGCTAACATCCAGATAATTCTCCCATGGAAATCTACATCTACAATTAATATATAAGTTCAATATTATTTTGTATTATGCTTAATTAGCTCATTGAATTATATTTTATTATGAGGTAAACATAAATGGTATTCAAACATAAATTATAGTTTGTATTAATCGATTAAATGATTTTGCTAAAATCAACTTGTGTAGTTAATACATTCTAAAATTCAGATAATTACAAATAGAGTCATTACAACTTCCAATTTTTTCTGCATAACCAAAATTTAAATACATATTTTATATCCAATTTTTTAATTTTAGTTTTTGAGATCATAGTTTTATTATTAGTCGTTTATTTTTATATTACATGGATTTTTATGAGATGTGACCTGTATAAATGAATAAAAGGAAAATTTAACCTATTTTGTTATTTGTATAGGTATTGATAAATTGGAAAATTGAAATCTTATAAAATTATTCAACTTGACCATTTATGTATTAGTCAAAATCACCAAAAGTTTATTATGAATTTATTTTCACTTTGAAAAAATATTTTACCTGCGTTGCGCAATACCAACAAATTGGACTTCGTCTTCGTTTTCCATGTCATTGATAAAAAAATTTGTGTTGCTTGAAAATACCTAATGTAGCTGGTAGAATGTCAGTGCTAATTGTATTATAATATGGTACATCTACTACTGAATGAATATAAACCTGTATGTATAAAATATAATATATTTATAAGTCGTTTAGTCAAAATCAAGTTCTTTAGCTGTTAGTATTTAATACCAACTACTGTGTATTATTTAAAGTTATGAAAATGAATTAGCATTTATTCATACCTTATGAACTTGTAGTTTACTTTCCAAATAATGGATATTAATTAACCAATATTTATTACTTCTCTGTATTTACTTATGCATACAATTGAAACTAATCTAATGTTTAATTTTGTAATAATAATATTAAATAATGTTAATCAAACCATAAAGCTCATAACAACATGCAAACAAAAATAATATTGGCAACTCTGACTGCTAGAAGTGGCTATGAGAAGTATTACAGATATACAAGGCTATTATGTGAAAATGTAAAAACTACATTAAATTCTTCTTAGGAGGATATCAATGATTTGTAGAATTTACTTTAGAAAAAAATATCATATGATTTAAAATAACTTAAGGAATTTTTTTCTTGACATAATTTATATTATTATACAGAATGAAAAAGCTCCAGTTAAAAATTTACTATCAAAATAATAACACACGTAATAATGCATCTTACAACAGGTTAATTAATATTACTTGACTCGACGATAATAGCTTGATAAGTAAATTGCTTGGCCCTGTGCTCCGATTAGAATACATATTAATGTAATCATCAGAATTTGGTCTGAAAGAAGAATATTGTATATATTACACTTAGGGCCGTATTTAAGGGTTCAGGGATGTGATAGGCAACATTTTTATGGTGATTCTTAATAAAAACAAATTGATTTTTCGGGTTTTCAATGGAAAACAATTTATGAATGATAAATAAATAAAATATTGTAAAATTATTTAGTGGCGTATAAAATTGATATTTATTTAACAATATTTTATTTTTTTTAGGTATAGGTATTGGCTTAATCTTCATTTTTATGAGGATGGGACAATCAGACCGAAGGGTACCACCAATTAGTCTTATAAAAGGCAATTTTCTTTAACTTTATTTAATTTATTTAAACTCAATTACTATTTTGGATTTTATATTATAAATATTGTGAAACCGAAAAAATTAATTACGAGCACAGCGAGCGGTTTTTTTTTTTAATGAATAGTTCAAAAAAACTTGTTTTCAGGTTTGCATTTTAAGGAAGAGTGGTTGATGAATCTTAAATACAACCCTCACTATATCATAGGCATGCGCAGACCTCTTTTTAAGGGTATGCAAAAGGCTGCTACTGCCTACCCCCCCCCCCTCCCAATAAAACAAAAAGTTAATTTAAGCGTTCAAAATTCTGGTCTTAATAACTATTTAATTTAAAATTTTAATTTTTTTTCCCGAAAAAAGTGAATGAATAGCCATTTCTTAATCGTTATAATTATCTTCATAATTAAAATTTAAAATAAATTACAAAAAAAAATAAAAAATAAATACATAACACTTGAAATGGTTTGAGTATTACGTTTAAATAGGGTAAATAAATAAAAACGTAATTATATACTTAAATGAAAAAACAAAATAAATTTGATAAATAATCAAAATTGATCATAAAACGATTCTGCATACAGTTGAGTTATTAAATCACCAATAATATTTTTGGGATTTTAATTTATAGCCATTTATTGTTCTGTAGTTGATAGCTATTTAATCTCGCTTGAATTATTGTACTTCTTAATATCATTAACATATTAAATCGTTATTATAGCATATGATTTGTGTTTCAAAAATAAATTAAACTGTCTGAGACTGAATACAAAAGTTTAATAAAAATCATAATGTAATACAAAATCACATAATTTACTAAAGACCAAATATGTAATAATTTTTGTTTATTTTTTGTAATCTTAGAAAGAAAGCTCTATGTTTAGGGTATGCAGTTGTATATCCTGCATACCCCCTGCGCGCGCCTATGCATTATATTGATACATTTCAGTATTATGAATTTAATTCAAATGCATGCACGTTCTAGAGTAGATAATGTTATTAGTGAACCCATTATTATAGAAAAATTGTTCAGAGACCAAAAATATTTTAAACGCAAGAGGATTTTTAGCACTCTTGATTTTTTTAATTTAACACTTGTTTTTTTTTTCAAACTTATATAATCTATTAAAATAACAGTAAAGTACTATTCAATTTTATTTTCAGCAATTTCAGTACCCCCAATATTTAATCTTTAGTTGCGTCCATGGTCAGTAGCAGTGACGCATCCAAGGTTTGGTCTTCGGGTCCGGACCCCCTCTTGAACCGTGTCGTATCTTTTATCAATGTCCACTAAGTGTCAATGTAACACCCAATAAAGTAATACAACATTTAAGCTATACAAAACATTGCTTAAATTTCAATTTATAAACTTGTACACACCTTTTACCTTTATTTTTTATATAATACTTTTAATTATCATTCAATTTTACATTATAATTACAATATTTACATTAATCAAGCAATAAAATAATAATTACATTTGCTAGCTACTTTAAAATAATTATATTTTTGGACCCTCCCCCCCCTTTAAAAAATCCTGGTTGCGCCACTGGTCAGTAGACTTATGTTATTTCGACTAAAAGTAAAAAAAAAAACACTTTAATTTTTACCCAATTAAATATTAAATTTTATTGAGTGGTAAAGTCGTGAATTCTTAAGATTAAAACAGTGGAATTCTACATTATTGGGAGTTGGGCTACTGGAAACATTCCTTTTATTTGTTAACTCCATAACAGTTTTTGAAATTGATGCATAATAATAAATAAAAAAATATAAATTAATATTTAAGGAGTTTTATTCAAATAACCCTTGACCACATACTTAAGTCCGTGCATGGACACAAAATGTATTTTTATTAGATACTGATGTAGAATCAGTCTTTCGGTATACTAACGATTCATTAGCCATTGTTAGTGTATAGCATATTCCAATTTCGGTTTCTGTCCGAATAAAATGCTTACAGCAATCAAAATGACGTTTGTTGTTCCAAGTGCAATGTAAAAATACTGAATCACAAGGATTTCTCACCTAAATAAAAATAATGTATTTTTGTATAATTCCATTTTTAAAGTAAAGGTGTTTTGATAAAATATATTCAAAAAACAAATTCAAATACAAATAAGTAATAACTGTGGCACAATTAATAAAATAATTGAAATTTTTTTTCATAACAAATTATATCTATTTTATATATTTAATCAATTCGTAATTCATCATTAAGAATGAAGTATACGTACTACTGGCATTACGTAAAATATAGATGAGATAAATTATGTATTTTTAAAAAGAATCTATGGTTAGTACATTTTTCAAAACTAGGTATGTTATTGAAGTTGGTAATGAATAAGTTGAATAACTGGCGCGGTAATAATAATTCATAATAGTGGATTGAAAAATTTTCACTCTACTTCCACATAAAAGACGATCGTATAAATTTTAATAAATATTATTTATTGAGATGGTTTTAACCAGTTTATTAGTATCATATAATACATTATATTCCTGCTTTGTTGGCACACATAATTATAATGGTTTGGTACTTTTTGTTATAATGTACTTTTAGGCAGTGCTTTATTTGACGGGAATAATTGGGTGTCTAAATAAGTTTAAATATTCTCACATAATATATATATTGTTAAACTTAAACTCACAGAAACGGCTAATTCACTGAAGTTGGTAGTTGGACAGTTGTATTGTCCAGTTATACAAAATTCATTAATGTAGTATGAAGTGCCTTTGAAATATGCAATTTCTCGTACGATTTCATCATAGTTGAAATCTTGATTGTTACCAAATATTCTAAATAAAATCAATAATATAAAACAACATTAAAAGATAATTAAACTCCATTAATCATTCCAATTTTATTTTTGAATGTATTAATAAGTATAAATTATTTAGTACTTAGTAATTAGTTTACTTAGTAGACAATTTTTGAACATTGGCAGCATTATCTGTTTCACACACACTAACTCCTGGAAAAGTTGTTTGAAATTCTAATGATGTAGTTTCCACTACAAAACTAATAGCATTTGTTCGATATGATTCCCAAGACTTCATCATTAGCCAAACAGAACCAAGCCAACTCATAATACAACAGAGAGACCAAAATACTCTAAAAAACCCGTATAGGATTATAATATTCAAAATCATAAACTAACTTATAATCTCTAGTTATTTTCATACCTTTCTATCCAATGACTTTTTGTATTACTTACATAATGAAGACCGTGAATTGTTGATTGATCAGCAAATTCTTTTAACATTTTAATTTCGTGAAAGAAACAGTAGATATAGAATCTGTTTGAGATCAAAAAAAATAAGTGGGATGTAAAATGTATAATAATATGCAGATCGTCATATAGTGCAAGTGAATTAATAGTATGTAAACTATTCGGTATGTTGCCTAATAAATTGTATATAAAATATTTAAAATATCAACTTGCATGAACTTCATTAAATATGTATCATTCATGGTGTAATAATAACAGTAATTTAAGTTTAAAAATAATCTATGCGTGTCACGCTATAAAAGTGATTAATATAGATAGATAATGACTGCCATAATCTATAGTTCATTATTTATGTATAATACTATTATAAATCTGTTTTGTAATCTATGAAATAATATTTTAATTTGCAGTGGTGAATTTTTTCTCTCTCGATTTTTAAAATAATGAATCTTGCCAGAAAATATTTTTTTAATCCTTTTAAACGAAATGTCTGAATACATATAAAATGTGTCCAACAGGATGTATATTCTGTTCTTCAAGATCGATTGTAAATATATGTATTCTGCTTTCAATTAAAATTACAACAGTATACACCCTGATAAGTTGAAAAATATTAACTGAAAACTATTTGTTAAACAAAACGATATATCAAAAGATACATATCTTATATCTTTATCTCAAGGGGAACTATTTCAGTGTGGATCATCATAAGCTATTAAATAATAAAAAAGAAGTTAAGAAATACGCTTGTTAAAATAGCTAAGAATAACAAAATTTTTTCGTATTAGAATCATAAATTCATGACAATTTTTATATCTTGAACTATTTGAAAACTTAATCAGCTTTTTGTGTAAAAACGCGATTTTTGTGCTGTTGCATTTCAGTGGATATATATTATACTAATTAAATAAATACATATTTATATTATGGAGGTTATTGGTAGGTATAGCTATTACGATGCTTGAGTAACTTGAGTGAATTTGAGTAACTGGACATAAAAGTATTGTAATAAAATAAAAATCTAGCTTATCTGAAGTGAATCATTTAAATTAGATTAGATTTTCTATTGGATACCAAACTGTTTTAAGGAGTAAAACTACAAGTTGTAGTTCGTAATGATAACTATAATTTTGTGGAGGTACCTGTCATGATAGTGATTAGTGGCGGCAAATATTATATTATTATCATAGGCATGTTTACGGCTATGGCCACTCTAGCAATGGCCAGACCTGCAAAATCCAGCTCTGTTTTAAATTTATGCTTAAAAATAATTACTAAAAAGTAAAAAGAATGATTAAATAAAATAGAACTAAATATTAAATATTTTCACATAAAATTTTATATATATATATATATATATATATACAGTAGCGCCGAATCCTATGTTTAGGTCAGGCCATGGCCTGACTACATTTTTAAAATGAGGCCGGGGATCAGAGGGGCCGATCTATGGCAAGGGCGACTCCAGAGCCTTGATCAAGAGGGGGGGGAAGTTATAATTTTACAAAATCTTATAATAAAAAGGAACAACAATTTTTACAACACAAATTCAAGTCGTCTATTTTTAAATAGGCAAAATTATCAATAATATAATCTATTTGATCAAGAATATATACTTTATGATATACATTAATTAGACATAATGCTGATAGTCTATCATCAGTCATCATTGAACGAAGCCATGTTTTTAGTCTCCGAAATGTGGAGAAACTCCTTTCAACCGTCATACCTCTATGGCTTTATCTACATACTTGTGCGTGTCGTATGATAGTACATATTATAATATGCATTTTTTGTTAACAATATACATTTTTTTAAATACGGTACAGGTTTGGGTGGAGCCGCGGCCCCTAGGGCCTCCCTGGAGCCGCCCCTGATTTATGGTTTGCACTCTGCAATATTTTGACCTCGCGAGAAACGCTGAACGGACTTTGTTGGATCAGTACGTGTATAAACGGAACGTAAACATTCAAATGTGAATTACCTAAATTAAAACACATAATAAAATATTTTTTCGGAACTGTGTCTGACTAGTATGAATTATGCTTAATACTCGTAATTTGAGAGCACAAATTATTTTTCTGTGCTAAGTAAAATTTAGGCTTGTGGCCGCTAAAGTTCTTGAGGCCATTGTATTTTTAATTGGCCTGAGTAAAATTTTAGAAGTTCGGCGCCACTGTATATATATTGATATGTCTGTGACATAAACTAATCAATAATATTTATTATCTAAAATCCATAACTATAAGTACCTGTGTAGTTGTATGTTATGTTATAGACCTTTTATTTTTTTTTTTTAAGAAAGTGAGTATATTATTTGCCAGCCATAGCTATTTTAGTAACTACAATTACTAAACATGTACGTTCTCAAGGTAGTGTATTGTGTACAGTGGCGGATTTAAAGATTCAAATGAAGACGGCAAATCCAAAAGAGGGGCCTCGTAATAAATGTATCATTAACATTCTTAGCCCCGTTTTACAAAGCTGCTTATAAACGATATTACAGTTTGTATTATAATTTTTTTTTGTGGTAAAATTTAAAAATTTAACTACAATTTTTTTGGGCCTCAGTAAACAATTTAGGAAGGGGCCCCGTCGGCATTCGCCGATTAAACGACCGTTAAATCCACCACTGATTGTGTACAATTCACTCGTTGTCTTCATATTCTAAATAAATATTTCAATTTTCCTAATAAAAAATTGTATTGGCCATAAGTGTGAAAAAATTTTAGTTACGCCTATGATTATTATATTATAACCAATAGGCTCGCATTCGCTTGAACAATTACAATTATTACAATGTAATAATTTTTTAATATACAGGCAACATAATATAAATTTACGTATAGTAATTTGTGTACACATTAAGCAGACGGCGTTTAACAAATTTCTTCTTCGCCTTTCTTCCAATTATTTGGAGTCGGCCATCAAAAATTTAAAATAATTATTTATACTTTTTGTGCCATAAAATTAATGGTCATACGTATATAAATTATTAGTAAAACTTGAGCTTATGAATAAATGTAATTATGTAAAAATACTAAATACTGAAATTAATTTTTTTTAAAAGAAATACTCAACATAAAACTTATTTTAAATGGTATTTAGAAATAAAATATATAATAAAAATTAAAAATATATTAGATTATCAATTTTGGTATTAATCATTTTAAATAGGTTTATAACAATTAAAAGGTGCATGGTAAAATTGTATTATTATTCATAAGAATATTTAATTCATATATTATAAGAACTTATCAAAATTTGGCATTTTTAATATTCAAACATTTTCCTATAATTTTACTATTCTTGTATATTGTTTAAACGAAAACGTAATCTTAGTGAGTTATGGAATTCATATTAGTTTTGCATATCCTATTTGTGAGTATAATTGTTTTCTTTACACTTGATGTTATTATGAATACTGATAAATTATTAAACACTTTCATTTTATTGTTTAAGAATTCACTGTTGTGAAAATCAAATATTTTAATTGTAGTTGTAAAATATGTCTTATTGAGGATACGTAAATCATAATTACGTAAAATGATCAGCGGTAAACATTTCGGGCACAAGTACCTGACGTATAATGTCGATAAGTTGCGTTTTAAACAATAGTTAAATAATTTCGTGTCAAAATTTCCAAACAATTTCCATGTAACGAAAAACTTTATTACGTTGATTTTTATCAATAGAAAAAATTTAAGTGTTATTTGTTTTCCAGTTATACAATATTTCACCTTAATCGGGTTAAAATAATTGCTATCATATGGTCGGGATTATAAGTTTATTGAAGCTATAAAATTATCGTGGACCTTGAAAATGTGAAACATTTTAAATATTGTGTGCCTGTGCTATAGGCGTTCTGTTGTTTCAATAATCGCGATGAATGTACACAAAACAATACGGTTAGCCTCCGAACATTGGAGATTTATCCAATACCGCTGTTCAAATTTTAATTAAATATGCAAACTAGGCCCGGGAGCAATTATTATAAACGCGGCCGTCGGGGTTTCAATATTCGTTTGTTTGGTACGATGAACACGTAGGTAGTATAAACCGCGGGAGCAGCAGACGACGGGCCCGGAATACGACTCGTTTACCGAGTTGACACGGCGCCGATCTAAACGATCCTTTATGATTCGAATTAAGCATTCGGTTTAGGTTTTCATTCGTTTTTAAATCCACGAACAACGGTGGCGTGATGTATCGAAACGTGTATTGTTGTTCGATCGGATTATGTACAAACGCTCGCGGGAACGACCGAAAATAATAAAATACAACGTTATAATAGAATAATCACACGTGTCAAGTGAACGGATGACTGGTGCATTGTCGTACGGCGGTGCTCATTCTGCGTGTGCAAGAATAGCATAGTTTTTAGACGGACTGTCGGGACGTGCCGGCCCCGCAGTCGTTTACTCCGATGGATTTGGAAACGTTCCGGTCAATCGTTTGGAAATTAGAAAAATAAACAGAGCACCGTGAAAATACTGTGATCATCCCGGAGAGGGACATTGCAAGTGCGCTCTGGCGGCCGGTGCTCTAACGTATTAGGTCTTCGGTGCAGTGGGGCGGCCCCGCAGAGTAGGAGAACATGCGCGTGTCGCGTCCCGTGCCCCGGCATCGCGGCGAATAGCCCGCCAGTTTAAACTCGTGTGTCGCATCGCGCGCCAAAATATTCAAGTGCGTTTAATTATAAACCGTTACTGATATTAATTCTTATCCATCAACGTTTTCCCCTTAGCGTCCGCGATCGCGAACCATGAACCACGTTCAATAATATTATTGTTCCGGTTCTTCTAATATTGCCGTGTAATATTTGTTTCGTTCGGCCGCACTTCTTGCGTACCGGTTGTGTTTTTTACTCAACGTGAAAAGCGAACACATCCGAAGTCTAGTCCACATAGCAGTTCTCCGCCAATATAATTAGTAAGTCGATTTAATATTCATTTTGACCGTTATAGAAGTACTTAAGTACTTTCGATTTAAATATACTAGGAATAGTCAATATTTTGAAACTGTTTAGTATTGCAGTTTAAAAGTTTCAGAACTCAAAAAACTAGGAGATAAAGTACGAAATAATTAAAAAAATGCACTAAACAACTAATTTTTAATAAAATTTAATTTAATTTTTAAAACAGATTACAAGATGATATAATTATCAGATTTATTGATTTTTTTTTTTTTTAACTATTTTCGTTTTTTTCCCGAAGCACTTCATATCTAATAGAAGACAAATATAATTTTAAAACAAAATTCTGATTTATTCATACGTTCTTGTTTGTTTTAGAGACATATAATCCATATATGGAGATCAAATAGTATCGAATCTATATTAAAACGGATTTTTCGAAAATCAGATTGAACTATGAATTTATGTGTATAAATTATTAAGTAAATAATATCATATTTTTTTTTTGTTGTCTTATCATAGTTAATGTTGACCAATTTAAAAAATAAAATATAAATATAATTCCAGTTTTAAACTTAAAAAATTAATTATTGTAAATATATGATTTCTTAGTACATATTTGATAAACTTTTAATTTTTTTGACTACCTCATAGTATTTGATTTACTTTATATTACAATATTTTAACAAATATAATTAAATTATATATAAATTAGAATTCTAAGTTATAATTAAGTGCACTTGATTAAGAAGATTTATTAGAAGTATTTTATATCCTAGAAAAAAAATAATGCTTTTATATTTAATGTAATTTTTTTTATACAAATAAATTATATTTTTAGTTTTTACTTTATACACTTATACGATCTAGTAAAGACTCAAGAAAAGAGAAATAAATATAAAAAAATTATTATAAATAAAATAAATTGTAACATAAACTTTTATTATATAAACCATTTTCAGAATTTTTCACTTTTCACCAACATAAAAACAAAAAATCTTGAAATTTCTATCATAAAATAATTGTTAATAATTATTTTATTGGCAATAATTATTTATATCTGATTATTTATTCTGAGAGATTTTAAAATTGTTAAAATCCTATTTCTCAAATAATCATTTATTCATAGACAGTACGAAGGTACTTCTAATATTTAATATGCTTTGTTTCATAATTATAATAAAATAATTACAATTAATTATTACTTATACTATGCGCACATTAAATGTATTTCGATTGTTTTTAATAATTCAATAATAATTTATCAGTGATTTAAGCATTTAGGGTTATATATATAAATATTATTTCTAATATTAAATAATATTTATTAAATATACAATAAATCGAATGCATTTGTCTCCTGGAAAATAATAGAATTTACTCACGAAACACCAAGTTGGGAAAAAAATTCCCGTGGGCAGTTTATAGTAATTTATATGGGTTATTCGTCATCCGTCTGACGAATACGAGGGTTCCTCGTGATGCACTTCTCACTCTGCCGGGATGAAGTCATTTACTAAACGCGTCGATTGTACTTACACGGGAGGCGGCGGCGGCTGCCTTAATCGCCGACTATTACGAGAGACGACGACGGCCTGTTGATATTGTAATCATTGGTCGAAAAATTATATTACGCTCGGACGTTATGTCTTCTGGATGACGGCCGTTGATGTATCTAATTTGTGAGATCGTCAACGTCATTTACGTTTGTCTGCCGGGCCTCCGTTACTAGTGTTATCGTACTCTTTTATACAATTTCGTATTACCGTGTTTACAACGAGTAATTTTTTTTCTTCTAATTCATACGAAATGTTCACCGTGCTGCAGCTGAGTGCACAACAATAATAAATCCTTCCGCCGGGATAAGTCATGTCGAGGGACGATTGCATTCGGACCGTGCGTGATAGGAATCGATTTGAGTAACTAGGTGTAGATCACAGATACATAAAACAATTAGATTGCTGACTCAATATTATCATCGAAAAAAAAGCAGCCATATGCAAAGCTAGTAATGTTTACATTATAAACCTTATCACAAAATACTAGTAGTCATTTCATAAATTTAATTCTTAGAAACCACAAACATTTTAAAATTTCATATGCCTTTACTCTTTACATGTGACTGTGAAATTGTGAAATCGTAATAATCAATACACGTAATATGTGATTTTGTGAATTTTAAATATTTAATCCACTTTGGAAGGTGGAGTGGTGTGAGTCTTCCACGGAAATTTATAATGTATACTGATCGACTTTTTTTTCCAGAAGTCACTCGACGCCCTATACTCGCATTTCCTGTGTAGCCGTTTCATTATTTTTTCTTTCAAAGAACTCTTTTACGCTTCGTTTGAACTTATACTAGTTTGTATGTATATTTATATAATACATAGTTAAGAATAAAAAATAAATGTAAGTATCAACGTCCCAAAAGTCTAATGTAGAATACATAAACTCTAGAATTATTTTAAAATTATACTTGCCAATACTGTTCTTTTTTGACGTTGGCCGTTTTCGTAACAAATAACAGATAATATATATAATATATAACATACATAATTCTAGCTTAAGAATTAACTTCTTCCATGAAACTCCTGCAACTTGTTTTGATGGACATTATATAGGCATGCAAGTATTCTTATTATTTTTAGTAATAATTTATTATCCAAGTATATTTGCTGTAGGTACGTAGTATTTTCATAATTTGAATTAATTTCAAAAGTAAAATATGAAAAATATATATTGAGTTTCCATTTTTTGGTAAACTGTCTTAAGAATTCCATCAAAATTTTAAAAAAATATTACATAATTTCATGTTAATAATATATGCATCAATTTTTTAAAAGTAGAATTTCGGAACATTACTGAATGAATTATTACAAGATGTAAATTAATGAAAAACATATTGACAATAGTTTCCAAATCTTAAACATTCTTTGTCCATCATAATTGTTTTACATACATATTCAAGCTAAATATAATGCAAAGCACAACATATATTTCATATATGTGATCGTATTACAATTAATAGTTTAGAGGATTATAGATATTTTATAGCTGTATTTAGTATCTATTTATACTATACATTGTATAGAAGTGCAGTTAGCGTGGAGTGTGGAGAAATACCCGTTGTTGAGCATTGCAAGTACACCATCCACCGATCGGGGTAATATTGTGTTGGTCACGATTAGGTCAAATGTTAAGTATGGAGCTTCTTATCGAATACATCACTCGCTTACGGTTAGGTAGATACCTAAAAATCTCAAATTGATTTATTGTTACTTAAACAGCCTACGGTATCCTTAAGAAATTGGATCCTATTCTTATATGAGAAAAGACTTGTATAAGAATGGAAGTATAGTCACTGTAAACAAAACTTATATTCATCGCTCAGTTAATAATGTACACAAAAATTCATATCAATCTATTATTATAAATTTATGAATATTGAGAAATTATTTAAACCATTTAAGTTAATCCTTTCAAGAATTCATAAATTGAAGCACTGAAATACGTATATTATACTAGAATTTGTGAATGTTTTTAGAATTCTCAAATGCCAATTATTTCTATATTCTTATATAATAAAATACTACAATGATCAAAAATATATAAAATAAAAAAAAATATCAAGAATAATACGCCAAAATTAGAAATTTACCATCTTTTTTTTTATATTATACATTTATAAATCTAAAAATATTTTAAATACGGTAGGCAATGACTTCGAGTGACATCCTGTTAAATTTACGCACAGATAATGTTAAATTTCATTGATATTTTTGATAATTTCTGAATATTTAATATGTATTATTAAAGAATTTAAAAGTTAAGAAACAAAGTAACTTTTAGACATAACATTTTTAAGTATACATACAAATTAAAAATATAGTTATGTATGTATTTGACTTCTTAAAATTATGAAACATATTTCTGATATCTCTAATTTGAAATAGAGTCGCTCAACATTAGTTTCAAATAAATACTAGTTCCCAGTCTCAGTAATCATAATATCCACGACTAAATGCATACATTTAAATACATTTTTGCTTATGATCATTGGTAAAGATAATTAATTAAAATTAGTGTTGATGACGTAATATAATATACGAGTAGGTATAGAATATAGATTTGAAAAACTCGAACATTTTTATTTTATTTATTTACTTTTATTTCTAAGATGATTATTTCGTAATATTAGTATAAAACGTATAGGTAATATATTATACCTTAATAGGTTTTGATATTGAATGTTACGGTTACGTAATGTTTTTGACTAAAATGTTTTTTAGGTTTTGTTATGTTATATTATACATATTTATCACTTTACTTTATTTGAAACGACAAACAAAACATTTATGATATAGGTTAGTTTATTTCCTGAACTAAATTTATTATCTGTTTATAATTCGATGACAATCGAGTTCTGGCGTCTGAAAGAATTTGATGTCTACGAAAAAAAGAATGTATTGCACACCAAATTGGGCGTACACATGTTAACAGCTGTGGAATCACACCTGTCTCTTTTTTAAATTTACTTTTAATAATAGATTATTCATTAAATAATGATATGACTGGAATGGTTAAGTTGTTATTATTTGGTATTTTAAAATACTATTTTTCCTTTTGGAATGTAAAATATATTTTTCAACTTTCAAGGTTTCGTACAATACCATATGAATAAGCATACTATAACTATTTCCAATATTTAGTATATACTCTAACATTCAGATTTTGTATTTTCATTGGTGTTCTGGCCGTTAGACTCGTAGACTTATGTTCGTGGACAAGTTGAGTCACGTTTTAAATTTAGATCTTTGCGAAATGGATGTAAGCCAAAATGAGAGCTTGGCCAAAATGACCAAACTGTACTAGTAATCATGAATGAAATATAAGCATATCCGAAAGGAATTGTCTATTATTTTAAATGTTAATTGAAATAAGAAGCCTCATATATTTTCTAGTTGATAACAAATGTTTTAGAGGTAATGTACTGGAAGTTTCATGTTCACGACAAAAAAAATGTCTTCGAGAAAGCCAAGTGCCCATATTCCATACGGTTTAAAGGAGTTGTATAAATTAAATGACTACTAAATTACCAATAATTTGTATTAAATCGATTTAGTTAAAAATTGATCGATTGCCATATACTCATATATTCTCAATTAGTTGTTAAGACATTTAATTTTATATTTATTTATTAAGTTTTAATGTAATGTCAATAATTATCTATTGAAAAGAAACATAAATAAAATAACTTTGAAAATATATTGAACACCGTACCATACATGGTCTTAGAAATATTTATGTTATTGAATGCGTGGGAAGTACACCTACAGTGAAGTATGATTTAATGTAATAACGCGTGAAGTTATTATAACGGAAATATGATTCTTAACAAAGACAAAAAGTTCTCTTTATAATATAAAATGTCAAGAGTTGGATATTAATTTTTATTACTTATAATCATATTTGTTTGCTTGTACAATGCATATTATCCTAGTTTTATATTTTTAACGTTGTCTTTGTTAAGTACGGTAGATTTAGTTAAATTGTATACAATTAATTTAACTTTTGATTCATTAATTTTATTGTAAACGACTGTAAATCAACATATTGTAAATCACATTTTCGTAACAATAGCATAAATGTACGAATACAATACGTATTTGTTCATTAAGTGACCATCACAATGAGTAATAAAATAATACATTACCGACAGTAAATCTAATGTATAGCAGCTGATAGTTGATCAATTCTTGTGAGTGTTGCAAAACCGGAGTCGGGATTACCTACCCATGTTTTCCGGAATAGTAGTTCACGACACTTGCTTGTCACGCACCTTCGTCGTTTTCTCCGTTATACTTCACATTGATCACAACAACTTTACCATACATATTTTATTATTATTATGAACTATCATTACAGCTATTATTATGCACGTCTGATCGACGTGCACGTAGCGGTCCCTGCGGGTACGGGATTATAGGTAGAGAGATAACAATCGCTGTACATGGCCCGTGGGAATGAAATGTGCACTTCTTCGGTAAATATGGAAATATTGTGCGTCGCCGCTGCCTTACACACGTTTTCGCGAGATGCTAGCGGATATATTTTTTTCTCGATCGACTGCCAGCGATCTCTGTCACGTAAAACGTGTTTTACAAGCTATATCCTCTCTTTACTTGCAACCATGACCGGCTGGCTGTTGCGCGCCGTCGTCGTCGCCCGTGGTTTTGTTTTCGTAATGAACTCTATTCGTATCATATACAAGTGCACTCGTCTGAATCATCCATATTTCTATATGTACGTGCATTGATATATATCCTAATATGTATGATATGTACGGATAATATTATACAATATGTATATATATATGTATACATATCTTAGGAACTCGCACATACACGCACTCATACTATAATAGATGTAGTTGTATGAGCTGTCATAACAAGTGATTTTCTGTATAGGTATATTACGATGACGCATAAGTTTGTGCGGTTTTTGACTACTAGACACAACAATATTATTGATTGGTGATTAACAAATATTTATAAAATGTACAAGTATACTATAGCCTTATACTTGTCAAGTGTATACAAGACATCTGATGTAATTAACTGTGAATTAGTAATACAAGAAATAATCTATTTCTCATACAAATTATTGATGTTTTATTAAACTCATATAACTGAAATCAAAATGGTAAAAAAAACAGTGTTAGTTACTTAACAAAGTTATGTCCTTAAGTAATATCAAATATGAATTTTATGCTAGACTTCAAATATATTGTAATACGTTTTTATTTCTACGAAGATAACTGTTAAGTATTTTCTATTAATTAATTGATTTAATTTCTATTTCTTAATTGAAAAAGTTAAAAAATAAATAATTATTATTTTTCCAAACTGTTCTTGTAAAAAGCATATATAGCTTACAAAATTGATCAAATTATATTTATATATTATAATTAAGTGAAGTAGGCAGTACATATACATTAAATTTCAAGGTTATTCAATATTATCCACACCCAAGTGCATTGAATGCATATTTATTACTTAATTTGGAATTACGCATTTTGATTGGTCATGCTAATCATTTTATATACCATAGTATGCATCTGGTAATTTATAATTTTATCTAGAATCCATCAAGTTTTTTAATCTTTTTTCAAAGAATAATTATTTATAAATTGCATTTATAGTGCGTTTTTATATTTTCTGATTTAATCAAAATTATATTTTTTGGTACATATATTATGTTAAATGTCTATATTTAATTTAAAATAAAAACACTTGGAAAACAAATAGGTACATATTATCTTTATCTTCTGGTGAATTGATCTCCGAATCAATTAATGGAATCCAATCAGTCACGTAGATACAATTTTTTTCTGGAAGGGGGGAGGGGTGTTTAAGAGTCAATTCATAATATTCTTAGTATATCTTAATACGAGGTCCTATGTAATAATATTACATTTAAAATGATATTATTAATATGTCCTGTATTTAATGAAAATTATTTTGCTACTCAATTTTTTAATATATACTTTATCATAGCAAAATGAAAATATAATTTTAATATAATATGTGTATGTAAATATTAATGAATTATAATTAAATATCATTAAAAAAAAATCTGGGGGTGGAAACCCCTTACCCCCCTACCCACCCGTAACTACGCCACTGAATGCAATAGTATATAACATATACTGATAGTGGTTTTTTAAATAATTTAAATTAAAAAAATGTCTTTGTATTGTTTTATTAGTTAAAAACGAATGCGTAATATATGAATTTCGTAAAATAATAAATCATTTAATAATATAGATTTTGAAAACTAAATTATCTATATGCCATCAAATATTGTATGCTTGGTGGTAAACTCGGATTGTTTAATATGATATTATAGAATAATATGATAAATATATAAAAGTTTGCAACCAATGCATTTCGATGTGTTCAATGATATCAGTTTTGCAAACCAGACTGAAATCGTGAGTGCTGTGTAAATCGTACATGCGTGTCGTCTGCACGCGTGTATTTGTTTATCTTATAACTACTATTTCACACCTTATATAGAGATATACATCTTACTATTACGCATGGATTTACAACAATAGATTACAAAAATAAATTATTATATATATATATATATATATATATATATATATATATATATATATATATATATATATATATGTATATGTATATGTATACAATTTTTATTTTAAATTTTAAAATGTATTTATCCTTTTTTTACAATTGCTTTCAGGGTCCAAATGATAAACACGTGTGTATTATGACCACGGGACGTGCATAGCAAATTGAGATGACTCTACCGTCATCACGTCCCTTGTACGCTCTACTATTGACTGCATTGTGTTGCACAGTGCTTGGTTTCAATGTGGACGTTAAAAATTGCATTAGGCACCAAGGGCCAGAAGGGTCCATGTTCGGGTTTAGTGTAGCTCAACACAAAGAACGTGGACGATCATGGTACGTTGTTTTGTTTAATCCAACTATACAAAGTAAATGTAGATTTAATTTTGATATCTAGTATATCGAAGTATATATTACTTGTAATAATAAACGTAGAACTTTAAACTTATTAGTTAAAAGTGTATAACCCTACGTGATATCTAATTTACTTTTTAATTTGTATGGTAAATGTTTTGTAGAATAATTGTATTGACATTTAAAACAAATTATTGCATTTGCATGTTGTACATATGAGTAGAGATACACTTTCTCATAGGGCATACAATGACATTTTGCTTGTGGTTTACTATTCCAAGACCTTTAATATTCTTGTTATTTATTATGTATAAAATAAAATATATGAATTGTAAACTTTATACGAAACAAAGGTATATATCTAAAAATTACGTGCAATAGAATGAATTGTGATTTATAATTTCAATAAGATAATTTAATATCGTATGTTTTGCTGATTGAATTAGAAAAAAATATTTAAGTTGCAAGATAATGTATTGCACATTTATATTTTATTGTATGGTTAGTTACATAGTACTGTGTTAAAAATAAGTACATTTTATGGATATGCATTTGAATATGTGATATGATATCATTCGAGTTAGCAAAATGATAATTCATATAACATATATTTCATGACTCATAAAATCCAATTATTCATTGTATATAATATTTATTATAAAAATATTTTATAAAATAATAATTCATAATTAGTTATTTAATAAAATTAATTAATATTTTGGTTTTTTTTACTTGTATGTATTAGATACAATATTATAAGTAGTGCTTAATGTTCATTCTTATACATTAATATTATTGTCGTATTTAGATGTGGATTACGATATGTTAGGAGGAAGTTAAATGCATATTATTCCATTGTGTGATTTTTAGCATAACTTCAATTATAGTTAATTAAAAGAATAAGACCGTCTCTAATATTAACTTTTATTTTCCCCCATTTAAACGACCGTTAGAGGACTTTGTCGACATATTTTTCACTTTGGAGGATAAAGTGTAGTATAGCACTGTACCCTCATTTCTAAGTAGAGAATATATCATGTGTGTTAACATCACTATCAATGAAGTTGGTCCGGCAGGAAATAGAGCAACCAGAAATATGGTACAGTAGAGAGATTACAGAATTAATTCTGTAGAATGTTTTTTTTTTGCACGAAGCCGGGTTCGAACTGGTGACTGCACATTATAGCTGTATGACCACTGCATCACACTACACCTTAAATATTAACTTCTATGAACAATTTAGTTTTATAACGCCTAAAATAAATTTAATCACAATTTGTCTATGTTTACTGTATTTATTTCACTATAAATAAAATTAAATCTATACAAATACACTCGTATACATGATATTTATATACCATATATGTTTACAGCGATATAATACATTCTATACAAATGTTGTACTAGTAAATTGTCTAATTAATGAATAATATAAACAATTTATTGTTAATGCTTACATATTGGGTAAATAATTTCAAGTTCATGAAATGATCAATAATCGCAATAAATTATATACAGTCATCAACTTAATATCATTGTTATGATATCATTATTTGCGAAATTGTTGTAATCATAATGTATATACAAAAAATTTGTGTTTGGTCTTGGTTTTTATGCCGAATCATAACTTTATTTATATCATTGTTGACTGTACGATGGTACATCATTACTATAAATATCCTAATAAACAATTAACAGATATTAATAATAACAATAAACAAAGTCTAAGTATCTGTGTATCTATATTTTACTATAAAATTTGTCCAATCCCAACTAAAAAAAATTGCTTCCAACAATTATTAAGCGATGTCTATTGAATTTTATGGTTTCAGTTATAATTTTTGGCGAGATAAAATAAAAAAGGTACTTTCACTTGAAATTTCCTTGTTTATTTTCATTATTTATAACCTCATACTAAAGGCGTCATCTGGACCAACTGTTACGTTCCATTAGCTTAGAAAAAACCGTTGTCATTTCAATTGACACTTTCATATTGACACATCACGAATGACTTGCAATTATAAACACTTTTATTATTATATTGTCCATATACGATACCCACACTCGATCGTATTGAGTTAATGCAACATAATGGCAGTTTTTTATTCATTTTTTATTTTATAATATCATTGTTCAATTGTAAAGAAGTCGTTTTCAACTGTACCACTTAAATAATATTATGGATACGACTTGGAACATCTCGCCGACGTCTTTTGTTTCCGTTCTAACGTCGCCAGTTGAATATTTATTATAATTGAACACACTGGACTCATGTCAATAGACTATGGAGTAAAATAAAGGGAGTTACTTATATATGCAGATATATGTATTCATATTTATAATCGATTATTATTTTACTTTTAACTATTATAATAATGATAGGCATAGTGGCACCAAATAATACAGAAATTATGTTTGAGAAATCTATTGTCAATTTTAATTTAGTTAAGTATGATTTTTAATACCTGTATAGATTTTAAATTAGTTTTATGGAGTTCATTTTATAAATCAATATTATATACTAATATTGTGTACTTATTTATTTAATTACCAAGTATTGTAGCAATATAGTTTTAAAATGATCACATTATTTATACTTTGTATTATATATAACTTATAAAATTAATTTATCATTAAATAATAAAATTGAAATATTAAATATTGAATAACAGGTAATTTTATAATTTTTTTTCCTTTAGAAATAAACATATTTATTTATTTATAAATATATGAGTTTCACCTAAAACGCACTAACCTAATTCTAAAATTAAATAGTTCAATTTTAGTAAAAACTAATTGACCTAGTGATAGTTTTAAAGAAATATAATCGAAGAAAATTATATATAGGATGTAAATATAAGTATGTAGTAAGAAAAAATAATAAATTAATATAATATTTCTACAAAATAATATTATGACTAAAATATTGAAAAATAAAATGTTTGTAGCTTATTTTTTTAAAATATCGCATAGTTTTATAGGTAATATTTTGATTTTTAATCAGTCGACATTTTTTATTACTCAAGCAAATGGCACGTGCATTTAAATTCGTAGACAACGATACGTTTTTATTTGATAATAAGTGATTTTTCTACACTGAACTATAATAAATATATAAAATCAAGGTGGTCGTATGTATGTTATACTATATATATATATATACATAAGAATTTAAATTACGTTTTACTACATAGATAACAAGTCCTCCAGTATAGTACTTCCGATTTAATATTATTGTACATTATTAAACTTGTTCTATAACAGTCCTGCAATGCACCAACTAATATTATTCAAACCATCACTTGAATTTAAATAATTTTTTTTAAAATTGTATACGTTTAAATTTAAATATTGTTCTCGTCACTGTCAACACTTCTTGTCAGGATGTACGATGGCTTTAAAACTCAAAGTACTTCACAACACTTAGTATTATGCAACCGACTATGATGTTGTTTTTAACCTAAAGAAAATATTATTAGTTCTTGTAGATATAGTTTTTGATTATTTTTAATGAAGTTTTCTAAACATAATACGTATAGCTGAAGTCTAAATTTAAATTTAAAATGTTATTTTAATCAGTAGCGTCAGTAGTAAATCCATATTATCAAAGATATTGATTTAGGTAGGCAGATGTTATTATAATACGATTTAGCAAAACAAATTTTAACAAAGATATAGTAAATAAATGTAAATTTAGATTGTTGATATTTTTTAAAATGTATTTAAACATACTCGTTATAATTATTATACCAATACATAATAAGGCGTCTTCAGATCAAATTGCTTAAATACTTATTTAAGAGTCAAGTATTTTAAAATTTAATTACAAATAATATAAATAAAACATTGAATTTTATATCCGTTATATTATACGGAATACACTTAATTATCTTTATTATAAATTTATCAACGATATCAAATTTATAATTATTAATTATTAACTTAGTTTTTTCCGATTTATAAGCTAATAAAAATCAGATGTTTAGTCACCTTGTGAAGCCACTCATTATTATATTTTGTTCATATGCCTCTTTGAATCATTAGCTAGTAAAATTCCATACACACATGCTGGTCCATATTCTCATCCATCACCGTCTTTGATTGAAATATAAGCTAGGAGAACCCATTAGTGTGTATAGAGGGGTAGAAAATAGTAGCATACTGCTTCAATAGGTTACTGATGAGGTTGAGGTAGTTGGGGCCTGTATCAATTATTCGTTATGAGTTTACTTATGCTCATTTTATTGTTGTCAATATAACGTACGTAAAAACCGGCTGTTTGATTTTAATAAATGAATACTGGACTAAAAATATATGAACAAGAAAAAAAGTTTTGAAATCGCTCAACTACTTATTTGATCTGTACAATGGGAAATATATTAACAACATATGACGCTTGGAATTCAACTCACAAACGAATGCAAATGAATATTCCATTTTACTATAAATAAATTCATATACATTTTTTTTGCATCACGCAGGTGAAACAATAAACTGACACATCAATATAAATACATGTCAATGACTTCCAGTAGTATGAAAATGTACAAAAAAAAACTTATGATGATAGGCATACTCATATTATATAACTCTAATTACACAGATTACATACAAATACATCCATTAACTTGATTTTGGTTTGAATAAATTTTATAATTCTTTGGGTCTTGGAATTGAGCCTAAAATTGGACAATTTTTAAATTCGTATATCTTTGACAAGTTTCAGATAATTCTTATAACATTTAACTGTTAAAAAATAAAAATAAAAGAGTCATGTGTAGTGTCAAATGTTTGGGCATTGAGTTTTGTGGATATTTAAGAGTAAAGAGTGCAGAAAAACTGAATGGATCGACTATAAAATATTTTGTGGATTGTTATTATATGGATATTAGAGTAAATGTACTTTTGGCAAACATTTTTTGTTTTATATTTATGTTAAAATGTACATTTTTATTTGAAAAAAAGAAATTTTATACGAACTG